AAATAGACAGGAAGAGGACTGACGATTGTGAAGGATGAAAAAAGTGAAGTTCAACTTTAGTCATTAGCAATATCGTGTTTTCTAATAATTTGCAGTGTAAACACATCATTGTAACCTGAGGAAGTTTCTTCCAAAAGCCTGAAAGAGGTAATATATTTAGTTTGTATTTATCTTAAAATATGTGTTATTCATCACTTTTAGGAAAGAATAGGGTTGAGTACTTAGAATTCTTTAAACTATAAACAACAGGTGCTATAAACTAATAGTTGTATAAGTGAACACTTTTTGAGACTTTATTACATACCAGGCACTGTTCTAAACATTTTATACATATAAACTCAGAATAATATATTTTACAGGGGCGCCTGGGTGGCTCAGTCAGTTAAGCATCCAACTCTTGGTTTCGGCTCAGGTCATGATGTCAGGGTTGTGGGATCGTGGGTTCTAGCCTCAATGGGCTCTCACCCAGCGGGAGTCTGTTTGAGATTTTCTCTCTGCCCCTCCCCCCTACTCACACACACTCTCTCTAAAATAAGTCAATCTTAAAAAAAAAGAATACTATATTTTATGTTCAGTCAAGTCATGATTATCTTTAGGTAGATTATTTATTTGTATTTGGATTGTCCATTCATTTAAAAAGACATCTTTGTTGACTGTGTCCTTCTACCTTTCTTTCAGTATTCTCCCAGTTGGTTGTATTACACCTAACCAGCTCCCCTGACATCATCATTTATACCTATATTTAAAGCTGATAAATAGATTGTTTTTGTCTTTCTTCCACATTTTTTGATGCTTTATGGGGGAGCAGATGTCATGTAAGCCTAAGAAAAGTATATAGACTCATTTTCCTCATTCTTAGAATTTTCCTAACTTATTAATGTTTTATTTATCCATTCAGGGTTTTTCTCTAATTACAGTTCATTTACATAAGTACCAATGGAAGCCATTTTTTCCCAGTCCCATTTATTATCAGACTCCCTCTGCCCATAAATCAGTTCTTTTTTTTTTTTTTTTTTTTTAAAGATTTTATTTATTTATTTGACAGAGAGATCACAGTAGACAGAGGCAGGCAGAGAGAGAGAGAGGGAAGCAGGTTCCCTGCTGAGCAGAGAGCCCGATGCGGGACTTGATCCCAGAACCCTGAGATCATGACCTGAGCCGAAGGCAGCGGCTTAACCCACTGAGCCACCCAGGTGCCCCTCATAAATCAGTTCTTAAAAACCATATACTTTTAGAGAAATTGAAGGCTCAGAATTAGAGGAAGGGGAAAAGTTATGAAACAGAATCCACTTTTAGGAACTGATTTCAGACAGGCTTATGATGGACTTTACACAAAAATATCCTCACTGCCATGATGATTTCTTAAAATTTACTTTGCTATGTTGCTTGAAATTCTATTAAATGTTGATTTGGGTAGACAAATACCTGCTCCTAAGATACCTCTGATTAAGGTAGGGGTTTATAATCTGTTCCAATCGGATTGCCTCTCTACCCCTAGTTGTGATTAGAAGGAGAAATGTAATATTGGAGTTTTTTTTTTTTTTTTTTAAAGATTTTACTTATTTATTCATGAGAGAGAGGCAGAGGGAGAAGTAGGCTTCCCACAGAGCAGGGAGCCCAATGTGGGACTCGACCTGGGATCATGACCTGAGCTGAAGACACTTAACCAACTGAGCCACTGAGGCACCCGGAGATCAGGGTATCACGGTAAGTTGGGGCTGCCAGACAGAGTAGGGTCAGAGTAGGGCCAGAGTAGGGTTCTAAAGTGTAGGGGAATTTGAGGGTCCTGAGATTAGGGAAGAAGGGCATGGAGAGTGCTGTGCAGAAATGTGGGATTCACAAAAGACAAATTACTTTAGTAAAAAATTAATAGAGATGACACTTTAGGGAGCCACCACTTTAAGGGAAAAAGGACATTTTTTTTTTTTTTCTTTAAGTCTGTCTTGTTCTGCTGACCTCCTGCTCACATGCTCAGAACTTAGGTTGATTCTTCAATGTAGTTTCATTTTCCATGTTTGGGAGACTAGTATGGGGGTGAAGGTTAGGTTGAATTTGGGAAAGATAAAAGCAAATAAAACGTGACTTCACTCTAGTTAATATTATAGTACAGCTTTGTAAAATAAGTGTTTGTGGACTAGCCTGCCATTTGGACCATTATTTGTGACATTTCTTTCATGAGAATATGCATATAACACAATTTGTTTTAGAGAACAAAAACTTCTTTTTAAAGATCAAGATTAGGGAAAAAGAATGTGAGATTTGTAAGGAATCTTTTTTTAAAAAATTGAGGTATAATTGACATATTGATATGATATTAGTTTTAGTATACAGTGTAATGATCTGATGTTTGTATACACTGAAATTATCAAATAAGTCTAATTACCATCTGTCACCATACAGAATTATAATTTTTTTTTGTTTGTTTTTCTGGTGATGAGAACTTTTAGGATTTATTTTCTTGGCAACTTTCAAATATGCGCTATAATAATACTAACTGTAGTCACTATGCTGCATATTACGTCCTCATGACTTACTTATTTTATAGCTGGAAGTTTGTATCTTTTGACCCCCTGGGACTTTTTGTTTTTTTTTAGTCCATCTCTCTTCTGTTTAACTTTAGTAATGATTGTGAGGTTGACCTTACATTATCTACTTACTGGTCCTGGTTATACTCTCTGAAGTCATAGAGAACACATCTCTGTCCATTTTGATATGTCAAGAGTTCAGATATTTGATGACGATTTCAATGTCTCTTTGTGATGATAGCTATTCTGTCTTCCCATATGCTTCTCTTTTCAGGCTAATTTCCATAGCCTGTTGCTTCTTGTATGCCGTTGTTTTCAGACTTGGAAATCCTTCTTAGATAATCTCTAAGTTTAAGTCCTTTAAATCATGGTATTCAAAGACCTCATCTAATGGTTTAAATGTGATCATGATCAGCTGAGATTAGAAAGGGTCTATTTTGTCGGTGTGATCAAGATAGTCCAAGTTTGCTTTTTATTGGGGGGGGGCGGGGTCTTTTAAATGACTATATCCTACATTTTGTTTCCATTAACTGCTTTGGTCATGTAAGCCTGTAGATGATTTTATGTATTTACCTATTTATATACCTGTGTATTTATTTTCATAATTGGCTATTAAGCCAGGTTTTCCTGTCATCATTTTAACCTTGGAGAAGAGAATGGTATAGGAAATCAAGCCATGAATGCTAGGGGCAAAAAGATTTGGGTTTTGCCATTTATTAATAAAGTATCTTTGGATTATTGATTTAGTTTTAGTTTTTATTTTTTTAAAGATTTTATTTTTAAGTGACCTCTATACCCAGCATGGGGCTTGAACTTCAAACTCCAGAGATCAAGAGGCACACGCTATACTGACCAAGCAAGCCAGGTCTCTTTTGTTTTTGTTTTTAAATGAAATGGGGACAATAATGCCTCATTACTAGGATTGTTATGAGAAGTACATGAAATAACCTAGGGGAAGGACTTTATCTTAAAAGATTTTATTTATTTGAGAGAGATAGAGAGAGAGAGAGAGAGAGCAAGAGAGCATGCAGGGGGAGGGGCAGAGGAAGAAGCGGACTCCCCACTGAGCAGGGAGCCTGCAGGGGGCTTGATCTCAAGGCCTCCGAGATCATGATCTGAGCCAAAGGTAGACACTTAATGGACTGAGACACCCAGGCACCTTGGGAAAGAACTTTCATATGCTTTATTCTAGTGATTTACAACATAAATTTTTGCTCTATAGTATTCTTTATTGGCTACATATTTTTTATATATTTTTTCATCTATTAAATGTTTACAAAGAACATTTAAAAAAATTAATAGTAAGTATATCACCTTTAATTTAGTTCTCCTTTGTTTTTAACCCAGTGGTCTATCCTTTAGATAATTTATTACCATTTTAAATTTTCATTTATTGCATTGTCTAGCCTACTCAGTGTTATGTTTTTAAGAGATCCAATGAATAAATTTTTGAATTATTGGAGCAAGTCATTGAAAAAAATATTTAACAGGGCAGCCTGAGGCTGAGCACTGAGGCCAGCCACCACAGGCTGATCGTGGTGGATATTGAGTGGTTAGTTAGCATTTTGTAGGGCCAAGGTTTATGGACAGCTTTTCTGCCTGGAAGTGTCCAAACCACTTCCTTTCTACCATTTTTTTCTCTGGGAGGATACCTGAGAGATCAGTGTAACATTTGTGTATTCTTTTTAGTATTGTCCTCATTTATCCACCTGATATTTTTTTCTGATGGTTATGCTGTAAAAACTGCTAATTTTATGACAAAATCAGCCGTATTTAGCATAATGACATAACTTAAGCTCTTAGATAATTTAGCTACTGGTAAAATACACATATTTTTTAGTTATAGCATATTGCAGATTTTTAAAAATTAAATTTCTCAGATTATTTAAGTTATCAGTGTAACATCCCCCATGAACTAAGAAATTCTCAACCAATATTTCTCGGACATGAGAGTTGCAACCAAAGATTTCCACTTTTAGAATTAATAATAGCTTGTTTTTCTGGTGCCACATTTTTTGTGCCATTTTTAATGGTCAGCAGAATATTTGAAGAAGTGTTAGAATGTTTTCAATACAGTTTTGATTTAAACAACAAAACAAAAAAAGATGAGTTTGTTTACCATTAAAAGTTAGAGATGAATCCCTGTTTTAATAATTACATTCACTTTGCCATTTACTTATGTTATGACATTTTAGTGAGTGAATTTTTATTGTGACTAACACTATGGAATTTCTGGGTAATCAGGCGTATTTATTTTGGGAAATAAAGACACATCTGTTTCTTATACTTAACTTTTGTAGTGGTATGGCCCTGGGTCTGTGTTTCAGATTTGGCTTTTGTTCTCTCAGGGGGCTTATTGATTTTTTTGTTCCTACTGAGGCCCAATATTCTTAATCTAGCTTTTGCTTCTGTATGGTTATTTCCCCCTAGTTTATCATGCCTATGCAGATTAAATATAATAACAGTCAGGGCATTGCCGTCTGTCTGTCTCAAGCTAAGTTAGTTTGCATTTTTCTTTTACTTTGTTTAGTACTTCCTTTAAAATGGCAAAGTCCAGAGTGCACATGTGTTCGGACTTGGATGTGTAGGACCTCTGCAGACCTCTTCTGTGCTGGTAAGGAGAGGAGGGACTGAGAAATGTCTTGAGGTTGAAATGTAAGGTAAAGGAAATGTACTCATGAATATTTTAGATAAAAGCTTCTTTAGTGTTGTACAATAGCCATGATGAACTGCTCAGTTGACAGCTATGCTAACTTTTTGTTTCTAGGATGGGGGAAGGGAACAGCCCATTACCACAGGCAAACTAACAAAACCCCCTTTCTTTCCTTGTAAGCCCACAACTGTACAGGTGTGGGAAATTGATCTTACTTTCAATGTTAAGAGATGATTTTTTGTGTTTGTTCGCTTGTTTGCTTTTTAGGATGTCTGATAAAAACAGAATAGATCCACAGAAAGCAAATCTTGTATCTGTGTTTGGTATTTGGTCACCTGGTAAAATCAGATCTATGGCCCAAATGAATGCTTTTTAACCTTTCCTTCCCCAGTTTGAGCACAAGTAGCTGCCTCCAAGAGAAGTCTCATTCGAAGGCAAACTGTGGCCAAATGTTGATAGACTAAAATTAGGTGATGGTACACGTTGAGAAAACTTTCATTTTCAAGCAGTGTTCAGCTGCTAAGGTGGTATTACCCTTCCAAGCCTCGTATGACACCAACTGTAGTAGGATAAGTCAGTAAAGGTGAATGAGCTTTGTAATGGGAATAAGAAAATAGGGGTTCGAATCCATGTTCTGTTCCAGGTTCTGAGCTTGAGCAGATCATTTTACCTCCCTCTCTGGGATGCAGTTCTTTTAATCTGTAACCTGAGGGCTTGCATATGCTAATCTCTTAAAATCTTTTCCAATTTAAAACCACTGCATAATTAGTACATTTTCCTCACTACCTCTAAACGTCTGTATATACTTTCCCTTTTCTTTTTTCTTGGAGGCAAAGTTAAATGACTTTCCAAGATAAGTTCGTATGATTGTGAAACTGCCCATTGCTAATTCTCCCAGTTTTGTTGTTTATTCATTTATCCAGCAAACATTTATGACACATGTGCAGAATTTCAGGTTCTTTTGGGCTCTAGGAAGATCAAGAAGACATAGAACTCTGTCCTCAAGGAGATTATAGGTTGGTAGGTTAAAGGAAGAAAAACATTTAATACAGTAGGACAAAAAAAGGGGTGTAACACGGCAATGTGGTGGCACAAAGAGGAAGTAAAACTTTTTTGGCTAGTCAAGTAAAGGTTTACAGAGCAGGGTACCCCTGACCAGACTTCTAAAATGAAAAAAACGTACTTTCTCAAACCTCAAAAAAAGTAGTAGATTCTTTTTTCTTTTTTTCCTTTTTAAAGACTTTATTTACTTGAGAGAAAGAAAGAGAGCAGGAGGAAAAGGGAGAGAGAATCTGAAGCTGACTCTATGCTGAGTGCCGAGCTCCGCACAGAGCTCAGTCCCATGACCTAAGGTCACCACCTGGCCCAAAACCAAGCGTGGGATGCTTAACTGACTGAACTGCCCAGGTGCCTCCAAAGTAGTAGATTCTTAATGTGAACAAAAAACTAGGAAATATAGATAAGCAAAACTTAGGAAAACAACCACTCCTAATACCTTGATAGGCATTTCTTCCTACCCTTTTGAAGCTGGGTTTTAAAGGATGCCTAGACAACTAAAAAGAGGCTGGAGGAGGAAGCGTTAATGACCAAAGAAATGAGAAATACTAAGGTATGAAGGCCTTCAGGCATGAAAACAAAGCATGTTGTGTATGGCCAACTCTGAGTAGTTAGGTATGGCTGGCCAAACCGCGTGAGGGGTATTGCATGGGGAATGGGAAGATGTTTGGAGTCATCCGCCATACTGTGGAGGACTTCAAATGTGATACTAAGGCATTTAGAGTCTGTCTGTAGAAGTTGGGAGCCCATAAAGGGTTTTAAGATAGGAAAGGGATAGACTTATGATGTGACAGCTTTTTTTTTTTTTTTTTTTTTGGGTGACAGTTTCAAGAGGGCAGACTTAAACACTTATACCTGTTTGCTTTCCTTCATCAAATCTATAAAAATAACAGAAAAATGTATATGTAGTCAACTATAAAAATAAGAAGGGGAAATCTTTGTAAATCAGAAACTGTGAAGAATTTCTGAAAATAGGAGATCCAGTGGGTAACACTCATATCCAGAGGTGGGGGAAACTGGGAGCGTGAAGGGTACTAGAGTGGTCAGTAAGGTGGTTACTGTAACATAAGCACCTCCAACCTGTGTATATTCTAACACCAATTTGGACCAAGTGAGAGGTCTGTTTCCATGCAAGAACTATACGGAGGAGCCTGGGTCTATGAGATGCTGAAGCACCATGGGTAACTGGCTGTACTCACATGTGGAAGACCAGGCCCTGAGACATCCTGTCTGCTCTTCCTCTGTTCCTCCTGAAAGCAGTATGAAAAGAGTATTGCTTCCTGAATAAGCAGTACCAGCAGAAGCCAGCAGAATGTAACAGAATCCCAAATACAAGGATAAGAATCCCCAGATGTTTCAGGAAAGCCAATACCGTGCAAGAGAATCCACAAACAGAAGAGCTCAGAGTCAAGTAAAAAGTCACAAGAACAGAGTTCTAAAATAAGTTTAGTTAATAATATTAAATAAGGAATTTATTATATTTTTAACAAAAGCAAGTGATTATAAAACAAGAGTGGGCATTTATTGGGAAGAGTCAGTTAGAGATCTGAGGAATGAGACATATGGTTGTTGAAATGTAACAATATTTGGTGCCAGGGGAGAATGGATTAGAACAGCGCATGATTGGTAGCAGAGAGAACTGGCTCTTGCTGGTGATCCAGTGATACAATGAGATCCTGAACTAAGATAGTAGCAGTAGAGATAGAGCTGAGGAAACAAATATAAGAGATGTTGTTAAAAATACAGAGTTAATAAGACCACTTGGCTGTGGGAATGAGAGAGAAGAAGGAATCTTGAAAATTCCTAGGTTTCTTAATTGGTTAAGTGGAGAAGTAATATTGCCAGAAGCCAAACTAGCAAATTCAGGAGTAAAAGCAGTTTTTTGGGGGTAGTGTTCTCTCACTTGGACATGTTGAGATGTAGGTGCCTGTGAGACAACTGGGTGAAGTGTTGTCTCTTAGACTAGTGGATATGTGGATTCAGAACTCCAATGTTCAAGCTTAAGTGAGTTTTGGAAGTCCTGTATTGGTGATAGTGGTGTGGGTTCTCATGCTCGTAGGTGAGTTTGCTCAGGAGCAATGCAGACTTTGAGACAGAAAGAGTGCTTCCATTTGAGAGGTCTGTGGATGAAGAAGAGCCAGCACACGCAGGGGAGGGTTGGAAGAGTAAGAGGTACAGGAAGAGTAACGTCTTGGAAACCAGAGAAGTAAGGGAGTGGTCAACAATGTCAGATTACCAGAGGGTAAATGAAGGCTGAGTGGTGATGTGGCAGTTCAGGGAAGGTGGGGAGCAACTTCTGTGGAGTGATGGGGCTAAAACCAGATTGCAGTGAGTTCAAGAATGTACGTTGGGGACGCTTGGGTATCTCAGTGTGTTAATTGTTTGCCTTCTGCTCAGGACATTATCTCGGGGTCCTGGGATCAAGCCCAGTGTCCGTGCCACGTGGGCCCCTCTCCCCCAGTGCTCAGAGGGGGGTCTTCTTGTCCCTCTTCCTCTGCCCCCCAACCCCCATCTTTATCTCAAATACACAAAATCTTAAAAGAAAAGAATGCATGGGAGGTAAGGTGGTAGAGGCTGTGAAAATAGATTCTGCAGACGTAGGTTTTGTAGAGGAACAAGGTCTGTGGGAGCAGGGAATAGAGGTGGGTGCAGGGTTGGAGGAGGGACGTTCTTCTGTTAGTCCTTTTTTCTTCTCTAGCTTCTCTTTTCTACTAGTTTCTGACCTGTTTCTTAACAACCATTGTCAGGGGTGTTCTCTCATTCTCTCCTTTGACCTTCTCCCATTCCACCCTTGAACTTTTCTCCCAGCTCCACATTTCTGTGGCACTTACTTTTTTCTTTTCTTTGTCTGGAAAGATTTATATATCTTTCCTTTTTTGTTCATTTATTTTTATGTTCTCTCTCCTCAGCTACTTGATACCACAAGTCTTTCAAGGTCTGTTTGTGTCTTTAACTTGAAAATTGAATTGAAGATGTTCAATTAAGAGTCATTGTAGGATCAATTGCATTTAGTTCCAAAATCCCATTTTGGAGTAGTTCTGGCCAAAAAAGTACATTTTATTTTATTATTATTATTATTTTTAAGTAGGCTCCATGCTGGATGTAGAGCCCATTGTGGTGTTTGAATTTATGACTGTGAGATCAAGACCTGAGCTGGGATCAAGAGTCAGATGCTTAACTTTCTGAGCCACTCAGGTGCCCCCAAGAAGCACATTTTAGATAATCAAATTTTGATATGACTTTTGGGGAAATTTGGGCAACCTTAAAATATATTAATTGGGGTATTATGTTTTGATTACAGGAAGAGTTAAGTATCCTGCCCTGGTGAAATACATGTAACATCTGTTGTTTGACTTCATATCTAGAAGGATGTTGGTAGGGGCATCTGAGTGGCTCGAGTCTGTTCAGTGTCTGCCTTCAGCTCAGGTCATGATCCTAGGGTCCTGGAATCGAGTCCTGCATTGGGGTCCCTGCTGAATAGGGAGTCTACTCCCCCCTACCCACTGCTCATGCTTTCTCTTTCTCTCACTCTCTCTCTCAGTCAAATAAATAATAAATAAAATCTTAAAAAGGGAGAGAGAGAGATGTTGGCAAACTAGAATCTTGTTCAGGAGAGAGAGAAAAACGCTGGGATTGAGTGCTGGTTGCCAACCTAGTATCTGTCCTCCCTTTCATTTTTAGTAACATTACTACTATAGTATGTACACATTATTAAGCCTAACTATAAAATATTTCCCAGCAGCTGTAAACAAGTCTTAGGGTAGTGCTTCTAGCAAAGGTCTTTAAAAGAGATGGTGTCATCTGGGAAGCCTCAGAAGGAGCTCTTGCCACTTCCTTCTTTCTTCTGCCTGGGACATGGATGTGATTTCTGGAGGTGCCATGATCATTTTTTTTTTTTTTTTTAA